TCATTAGATCCATGGTTCTCTCACCTTCTTATGACTGCCTTCATGCTCAGTCTGTGTAGGGTTATGACAAGGTTGGCATCTGGGCATGGTGCAGAGTAGCAAAATGTATGAGACAACATGAGTTTTCTGGGATATAGTGTCTGGGTGACCACTTGGTGGTTCAGTGCAAGTGGGAAACTGATAGTATTCAATTCAACTTGCGGAGCAAGAATCGGTGATATCTATTTTCCAAAAGGGATAGTAGTGTAGGAACTTGCGTAAGCAAATATGTTTTAATACGTTATAGTGAAGTTTGTAATATTGTTAATATTTGACTATCTTTTGATCAAATGATAGAACAATTTCATATATAGGCCTGATCTGGGCTATAGCCTTCACAATTGCATGCTATGGAGAGCTGGACAGTGACTAGGGGTGATAGAAAGAGAATTGATGCCTTTGAGCTGTGGTGCTGGAGAAGAGTGTTGACTATACCACGGACTGTTAGAAGAACAAACAGGTTTGTCCTGGAGAGGGTGAAAGCTGTCTGCTCCTTGGAGTCAAGGATTCTGAGGCTTTGTCTGACATATTTTGGACATATTGCAAGGACAGTCTGGCACTTGGAGAGGGACATCATGTTTGGGAAAGTGGAGGGACAGTGCAGGAGAGGAAGACCCTTGATAAGATGGATCAATTCTGTGATTGGGGTGGTGGGAGTGAGTGTGTCAGAGATGGTGAGGTTGGCACAGGGTAGAGCAGGGTTTAGGGGTCTTGTACATAGGGTCACTATGAGTCACAAGTGACTCAATGGTGCATAACAAAAACAATAACAACCTGATATTTATCATACTATGAGGGCTTGAATTTGCTGTCAGTTTGGATGACAAATACCAGAGTGACTGACAGAATTTCAGATGTGTTTGCAGACTAAGATAGACCAAGAAGAAGGACTTGATAATCGAGGTCTGAAAAAATTGGCTGGTGAATACCTGATGAATAGCAGTGTAACAATATTGTCAAAAGCAATAAATAAGAGAGGGATTGACAGCGTTGCAACAGTGGGACCAAACATCACAACAATTGTGAGGCTGATGTGGGATTGGAGTGAGTTTTGTCAAATTGTACATAGAGTCAACTATGAGATCGAACCAACTTGATAGTACATAACAACAGCAACAGCATAGTCATATAAGTCTAGGTATTAACAATTTATTAATAAGCATAAAAGATAATTCTGTAGTTTTTTGACTAGACATAATTTTTAAAATTTTTTTTCCTATACATTTTATGTTATAGTCTTCTATTTATAATTAAACTTATGTTATGCATATCTTATTTAATAATACTAATAGATTATTTTTCTACATCTATAATTGGATGTCTTCCTTAGTTGTAACTTGTAAGTATAGTTTTATTCCTAACTGTAGGTCTTGGTATTGCTTTTAATTCTTTTTTTCTATAAACAACAGTGTAATAATAGGTATCTTGATAGCTCAATCATTTAACTAATTTTAAGAAAACATTCTTAAAATGACATTCTGTCATAATTAAGAATAATTTTTAAACTTTTTATAGATTTTAAATTGACTGTCTGAAAAAATTGTATTTTAGGTACATCTTAGTCTCTAAACTAACATCATTGCGTTTCAGTATTCTGGAGTGGTCCCTGACAGCAGATTTTTCTCATTGCAATTCTTCTTTTGATTTCCTGATTGCTGGTGCCAAGAGTGTTGATTGTGGAGCCAAGCAACACATAATTGTTAACAATCTCAATCTCTTCTCTATCTATTATGGTGCTTCCAATTAGCCCAGTAGTGAGAATCGTTATCTTCTTGATGTAGAGTTTCAATCCATATTGCAGACTACAGTCCCTAATCTTCTGCAGCAACTAATTAAGGTCCTTTTCAGTTTCACATGCAAGGTTGTATTATCTACATAATGTAGGTTGTTGATGAGTCTTCCTCCAATCCTGATGCCACATTCCTCCTCATAAAGCCCTGCTTCCAGAATGGTATGTTTTGCATATAAATTGAAAAAGTATAGCGATAGGATGCATCCAGGCACACTCCTCTCCTGATCTTGAGCAATGCAGTATTTCCTTGCTCTGTTCTGAGGACTGCTTCCTTGTCAAAGTATAGGTTTCACATAAGCACAATCAAGTGTTCTGGGATTCCCATTTTCCTCAAGGTAATAGTAGGTATTAATTATCTGTCTGATGTTTTTGACTATTTTCCATAGTCTGAGTTATGCAATATTTGCATCTATGATATATAAATGTTAATATTGTAGATATTGTCAAAACATTTATCATAGTCTTATGAACATATAAATATGCTTAAAATTAAATATTTACTTATTCTTATGTTTTCTTTTTATATATTTCCTTTTTTAACATTTAATTATCCATTTTAAATTATGCTGTTTTTCCAAATTTTCTCCATTGTGCCGAGACTGTTGGTTGAATAGTTCATCATGCCTACACTAATGTTATAGAGTTATTTAGGAATGTTCTGATAGTCACTGTGATATATACTTTGCCACTTATTTTCCAATGCTAATTTTGAATACATAATGACAGTTTGAAAACACAAGTACAAGTAAACTTTTACTTAACATCCATCAATATTTTTCTGTTGTTCTTAGGATGAAAACCAAAATTATTTTTATGATTCAATAGTTTGTCATGTCTATACTCTGCCTGTCATTTCAGTTTGATTTCAAGCATTAATCCTCTTGCCCCACTGACCTCTGTCTCAGAATCTTTGCACATGACTGTTCCTCTACCTGTACTACTTTACTTGTTGTTGTTGTTGTTGAGCACCATCATGTCAGGACTCACTCATAGCTGACCCTCTGGCAGTTAGTCACACAGGAGGAGATTGCCTATCCTTCCCCCAAAGAGCAGCTGGTGAATATGAACCATGAGCTTTCCAGATTGAAGCATAGCCTCTAACTAATAGGCCACCAGAGCTCCTTTACTTACATTGTAGTTTGTTATTGTTGGATTCTGTAGAGTTGAGTACAACTCATAGTGACCTTATGAACAATAGATCTGAACTCCATCCTATCCTATTCCCTTCATACACTTTCTGACAGACTAGAGCCCAGTGCAGCAGTCACAACCTTGCCTGCTGAAAGTCAGGAGAGGACATGAAGCACTTGTTGCAGAAGATCAAGAAATGTTATCTGTCATATGGATTGCAACCCTACATCAGGAAGACAAAGATTCTTACCCCTGGACCAACAGGCAACATCATGATGGGTGGAGAAGAGATTGAAACTGTCAACAACTTCGTCTTGTTCGGATCCCAAATAATGCCCTAAGTAGCAGATACATTGCACTGGGAAAATCTACAGTGAGGGTCCTCTCCAAAGTACTGAGGAGTAAGAATGCCAGTTTGAGGACTAAGTTGTGCCCAATTCAGGTCATAGTCTTTCCATCACTTGCTATGCATCTGAGAGAGAGCTTGACAGAGTAATGATGACAAAAGAATTGATGCTTTTGAGCCATGGTGTTGAAGGGTACTGAACATCTCTTGGATGGCCAAAATAACAAGCAAATATATCTTGGAGAGGGAGTTACCAGAATACTCTGTGGAGGCAAGACTGATGAGGCCTCACTTTATATACTTTGGGCATGTTGCTAGGAAGGATATTCCTTGGACAAGGACAAAATGCTCTCTTGGCTGGAGGATTGGTGAAGGAGAAGAAGACCCCCAACCAAGTGGATTGTCATGGTTACTGCTGCAATGTATCAGAATTGTGAGTAGGGCACAAGATAAAATAGGGTTAAGATCTTTTGTTTATAGGGTCACTATGAGATGTACTCAACTCAACAGCACCTAAGAACAACGACAACCAACATGATTAAAGTACATGAGACAAAGCCTCATCATCCTTGCCTTCAAAGAGCACTCTGGCTCTACCCTTTCCTAGATGTGTTTGTTCTTTTGTCCATCCATGGGATGTTCAGCACTCTTCTCTAACACCACAGCTCAATGGCATCAATTCTTCTGTAATTCCTATTCATTTAAATACTTTTTAGTAATAACTTATTTAGTATAGTCCAGAATAAAAGCTTCTCTGATGAGTTACTTTGTTCTTATACTATTTTGCTTTGTTCTTTCAAATAAATGGCATAATTTTGTTTTTATTCGTGATTAATACTTAGTTTCACCATTATATTCTAAAATTCATGAGACAGAACTTATGTATTATTCAAATATTGACATATTTTATAATAAGAATGTAGACACATCATCTCATATACTTTGGTTGTGTTATAAGAAGGAATAAACTCCTAATAAAGGATTTCTTTCTTGATAAATGGAAGGCCAATGAAAAAGAGACTACTACTACTTATGTTAGACTGGAAAAGCTAGGGCAACACAAGTGTGAAGATGGTGCCAGGCCAGGCAATGCTTTTTCTACTAAACAGTGGGTCACTATGAAACAAATTCAATGGTACCTAAGAAAAAGAACATCAACATGTCATGTTGTTATTGTTGTTATGTGCCGTCGAGTTGCCTGCAACTCATAGCGACCCTATGTACAACAGCCCTAAACTCTGCTCTGTCCTGTGCCAATAGCACTGTCTCTGACACTCCCATCCCAATTATCCCAGTCACTGAATCAATCCACCTCATAGAGGGCCTTCCTCTCCTGCGCCGTCCCTCCACCCTCCCAAGCATGATGTCCCTCTCTAAGGACCAGTCTCTCCTCACAACATGTCCAAAGTAAGTTAGACGGAGCCTCAGAATCCTTGCCTCCAAGGAGCCACCCGGTTTAACCCTCTCCAGGACAAATCTGTTTGTCATAGATAGTAAATTTTCTTTAGGAATATTAGTTGTTAAATGAATTAATGACATTTTCAAAACATATTAGATCTATTAGTTAAGATTTATTTTAATACTAGATTTTAAAACCAACTCTAATTTGCTTCTTTAAGTACTTGCTTCTCATTTGTTTTTTCCTTTTGTCATTCCCTTTTTTGTGTATTATTCTAGGCAACCACAAAGTCAATGCTTGGATCAAATTACTCTGAGGTTTCTGAATTTGTGTTTCTGGGACTTTCTACATCTAGACCAATGCAATATTTCTTCCTTATTTTCTCTACAGTGTTTTATGTAGCTATTGTTCTGGGAAACCTTCTTGTTGTATTCACTGTGATTTTTGAATCTCATTTGCATTCCCCTATGTACTTCCTTTTGGCAAATCTCTCTTTTATTGATTTATGTCTTCCCACTTTAACGGTTCCTAAGATGATAACTGACCTATACTCTGGGCAAAATACCATATCTTCCAAAGGGTGTATCATCCAGATTTTTGTGCTTCACATTCTGGGTGGATCTGAGATGGTGCTGCTCATAGCCATGGCCTTGGACAGATATGTGGCCATATGTAAGCCCCTTCACTACCTGACCATCATGAGTCCACAGATGTGCATTTGGCTTCTGATTGGTGCGTGGGTTATTGGTCTCATTCATTCAATGGTTCAGTTAGCTTTTGTTGCTCATCTACATTTCTGTGGCCCTAATGAAATAGACAGTTTCTACTGTGATCTACCTCGCTTTATCAAACTTGCCTGCATACACACTTACCAACTGGAATTCATGGTCACTGCCAACAGTGGGTTTATATCCATGGGAACTTTCTTCTTACTGATTTTCTCCTATGTATTCATTCTGTTCACTGTTTGGAAACGCTCTTCAGGTGGTTTGTACAAGGCACTCTCTACATTGTCAGCTCACATCACTGTAGTAGTGTTATTTTTTGGACCGTGCATATTTGTCTATGTGTGGCCATTTCCCACAGTACCAGTGGATAAATTTCTTGCTATTTTGGACTTCCTGATTACACCCATTCTGAATCCTGCCATCTATACATTGAGGAACAAGGACATGAAGATGGCAATGAGGAGATTGAGTAGTCAGTTCCTGAGTTTCAGGAAGTTGTCCTAAATTTATTAGAGTACAAGTGTTATCTTCTGTATCGCTATTGTTAATACAGAGCTTAAAGTTTATAGTACATTGGAACAATTGTTGTAACAAATTTAGCAGCTCAAAAAGTAATATCTTCCTCATTTCAAATGTGAATGTAATTAAATCTTTTGAATATGTACTGGCAGTAATATGGTATTAATTTAGAATTGATATTCACTCAAAGAGACTCTAACATCAGATTGAAAAGCTATTAAATATAGGTAAACTCACATGCCATCTTGGACACCAATTAAAGAATATATGTAATTGCTGTTGTTGTTTTTGTTATTGTTATATGCCATCGAGTCACTGCAACTCATAGCAACTCTATGTACAATAGATCTGAACTTTGCTCTATCCTGAGCCAGATGCACTGTCTCCCATTCACCTATCCCATTACCCCTGTTACTATGTCAGTTCATCTCATCTAGGGTCTTCCTCTCTTGCGCTGTCCCTCCATCCTCCTAACATGATGTCCATCTCCAGTGATTTGTCCCCCTGGTCATGTTCCCAAAGTATGAGAGACAGAGCTTCAAAATCCTTGCCTCCAAGGAGCTGCCTGGTTTCATACTTTCCAGGATAAATCTGTTTATTCTCTTGGCTGTCCCTGTCCACAGTATCGTCAATACTCTTCTCCAGCACCATATCTCAAAGGTATCAATTCTTCTTATGTCCCTCTTAGTCATTCTCCAGCTCTCTGATACATAGCATGTAATTGCAAAGACCATGGCTTGACTGAGGCACAACCTAATCTCCTGACTGTCATTGTTGTCCTAGCACTTTGGAGAAATCCATGACAGCAGTCTTCCCCAGAAAAATTCTCCTTTTGATTTCTTGACTGTTGGTTCCAAAAGTGTTGATTGTGGAGCTAAGCAAGTGGAAATTTTTTACAACCTCAATCTCTGCTCCATCTAGCATAGTGCTGTCAATTGGCCCAGTGGTGAGAATCTTTGTCTTGTTGATGTTAAGTTTCAATCCATTTTAAAGACTATAGTCTTTGGCTTTCTGCAGCAAATACTTCAGGTCCTCCTCGGTTGTGTCATCTGCATAATGTAGGTTGTTAAGTCTTCCTCCAATCCTAATGCCTCCTCGTAAAGTTCAGCCTCCCAAATGATCTGTTCTGCATGCAGATTGAAAGAATATGAAGATAAGAAGCATTCCTCATGCACTCCTTTCTTAATTTTGAACAATGCAGTGTTTCCTTGCTCTGTTCTGAGGACTGCATCCTGGTCCAAGTATAGGTTTCACAGAAACACAATCAGGTGTTCTGGGATTCCCATTCTTCTCAAAGTTAACCCCAATTTGTTGTGATCCACACTGTCAAATGCCTTTGCATAGTCAAGGAAACACAGAAAGACTTTTTTCTGATATTCTTTGCTTTCAGCCAAGATACATCTGACATTGGCAATAATTGGAGGGAGAATATGGCAGTTGCTTCACCACCCCCAAGCTTGACCACTTCCTGAGAAACTTGATAACACCAGACCAAACAATGGATCCTAATAAGAGTCTGAGCTTGAGAAAAACAAAACAAAAAAAGAAACCCTAAAACCTAACTAAATTAACACTCCAAATTCCAAGAAGTACCATCTTAGTCCTCCCCAGGACCCCTATTAAAAGGAAACCCCCAAACTGCCTGCGGGCCATTTGGATCCTGTCTGCATGCCATGCTCCTGGGTCACTTGGCATCCCTCTCAGACCGTGCAGTAAAGGCCTGTTTGCTTCTTGGTACCAGTTCCTTTCTTTATTTCTCTCCCTTGCACCCTCACACACTTTTTTATATCTAACAATAATGTTGCTAATGCAGGACCTCTTCTAAACCCAGCTTCTATTTCTGGTAGTTCTCTTTCGATGTACTGTTCCAATAGTTTTTGGATCGTCTTCAACAGGATTTTGCATTATGTGATATCAGTAATATTTTTCAATTATTTTTTTTCCACACTCTGTTGGGTCATCCTTTTTTTCAATGGAAACAGATAAGGATCTATTCCAGGCAGTTGGCCAGATAGTTGTTCTCCAGATTTCTTGGCACAACTTGATGAGCACATCTAGGGCAGCATCTGTCTGTTAATATATGTCAATTGGTATTCCATCAATTTCTATGGCTTTGCCCCACCCTCCCATTCTTTCAGAACAGCTTGAACTTTCTTCTTAATCACCATTTTTTGTTGATCATGTATTATTTCATGAAATTCTTTTGTGTAAACCAGTTCTTTTTAGTACAGTGATTCTGTGCACTTTCTCCCATCTTCTTTTAATGCTTATTGGACCATTCAATATTCTGCCCATAGGATCTTTAGATATTACAACTTGAGTCTTGAATTTGTTCTTCAGTTCCTTCAGCCTAAAGAATACTGAACAAGGTTAGTCTTTGCACATTTCATTATAAAACTTTTCTATTTAGCTCTTTAACTTCTTGATCCCTTCTGTTTGCTTTGGATTTTCAGTGCCATATTCAGAATCTCTACAGACATCTATCTCAATCTTCTATTCCACGTCTAGCTTTGTAATGACCTTATATGCATTCTTCATGAATGATATTCTTGATATCCTCCCAATGCTCATCTGGTCTTTATTTATTAATGTTCAAGGTTTCAAACCTGTTCCCGAGGTGACTTTTAAATTTAGGTGTGATAGACTCAAAGTCAAATTTGATTCTTGTGGATTTAATTTTCTTTAGCTTTAGTTTGAACTTACATATGAATAGTTGATGGTCTGCTCTACAATCAGCACCTGGTCTATCATAATATATATCACAGATATTGTATATATCATGGCTGATATATATATATGTGTGTGTGTGTGTGTGTGTGCATTTAAAATGAAAGAATAAATATTGCTTTACTTTACTTTCAAATAGTAAGCTTCAAACTTAACGGGCTTGGGAAACTCACTAGCATATAAAGAAACAGTGTCTTTTGATAAAATACTTGTTGAAATCTTATTCTTGTATTGAGATAGAATTTTCTTCATTACAATTCTCATAATATACCCTTTGTTGTATAATTAGGTGCTCTATACAATTAAGCAATTTTCATCTTTTTCCTCTCATACTAGAAAATAAAATTATTCTACTCAGCTATGTGTAGTTCTAACTCATGAGCAAACAACAACAACAACATATCTTCTAGTTTTAAAAAGAAATATATATATGAGCCTAACATATTCAATCTCAAATCATTAGACAAAATTAATCATTAATAATACCTATAATTAATAATCATTATTGTTTTTGTTATCTGCCATCAGTGAAAAAGAGAACAGAACTCTCTGTTCTATCTTTCACCATCTTCACCATCTCTGACAGACGTGTTCCCATTACTGTAGTTACTGTGTCAGTCCATGTCATTGGGAATCTTTGTCTTTCGCTGACCTTCCATCTTCTAAATATGATGTCCTTTTCCAAGGAATAGCATATTGTAGCAACTATATGCTAAATACGAGTGACAAAATTTTGCTGTCTTTGTCTCTGGGAGCACTCTAGATGCATTTTCTCCACCACATATCTATTTGATCTTTTGTTAGTTCATGGGGTATTCAGTGCCCCTCTCTAATATCACAACTCAAAGGCATCAATTATTCTTTTATCATCCTTTTCCATTGTCCATCTCTCTAATGCATAGCAAGTGATTGAAAAGCCCATGGTTTGAATAAAGTACATTCTAGTTTTCAGATCGACATCATGCTCTTCAGTATTTTGGAGAGGTCTCTAACAGCTTTTTGCCTAATGTAATGTCTCCTGATCTCCTGAGTGCTGATACTAAGTAAGTACATTGATAGTTAATCCAAGCAAGATGAAATCATTGATGACTTCAAACTTTTCTCCATTAATTGTGATTTATATATTTCTCCATTAACTGTGATTTATATATGGCCCAGTAACAAGGACCTATGCATTTTTAAGGTTGAGATGCAATCCACACTGACAGCTGTAAAACTTTATATTCTGCAACAAGCATTTCAAGTTCTCTTCACTTTCAGTAAGCAAGGTTGTGTCATCTGAATAATGTGGGTTGTTGATTAGTCTTCCTCCAATTCTGCCACCACATTCCTCTTTAAAGAGTCTAGCTTCATGGATTACTTACTCAATTGACAGATTGAAGAGGTATGGAAAAGTATAAATTCCTGATGTATACTCTTCCTTCTGATCCTTATTGTAATCCATAATACATAAGTTTTCCCTTGCATCATTTGGACAAGAGTTTCGTGGTCTAGGAACAGAGAGAGAGAGAGACAGAGAGAGAGAGACTTTGGGAATCAGAGTTTGTTGGCTCCTGACAGATGCCCCTCCTGGGTTTCTGCACCAGAAAAAAAAGGTTTCTGAGGAAGTGAGGAAGGACACAGAACCCAGTTCAGGCCAAAAGGCAGTTTATTGAGGAGAAACTGTTGGGCTGGCTCTAAAGCAGAAAAGAATACCTACTTAAAGTTACAGTAGAGTTTTATATTGTCTTACAAGGAAATTGGGAGTTAGGATGTTCACAGCTGCTTGGTACAAGATAAGGGAACAAGTTTGGGGTCATGGATAGTTATGTTCTGCCCATGAACATAACTCAAAGGATATCTAATCACACGTATGAAAATTCAAGAGCGTTTATTAAATTCCACATGTGGAGACTTTCTCCCTCAGTAGGAAGGGAGCAAGGGAAAAAACCCCGAGCTCCACTCCACAATTGCTTTTATGGCTTTCCTGGGTGCCACTGTTGGGGCGGGGAGATTGAGATCATGGTGGGTTGGTTGGGGGATCAGTCTTGTGGGTTGGCTTTTGACAGGCTGGCTACTTTGCCCGCCTTTACTCATTTTGTGTCACATAGACACTAGTTAATTCTTTACTTTGCAAGGACAGATAAGACTTTACCCAGGGCATTTGTGTTTGCCTTAGGCTAAGAATTTTTATGGCCCATTTCTGCTTCTGGTATTAATGGGGGTTTATAAAAAATGGAGTTTATGTTGTCCCCTCAGTTACTCCTGGGAAAGGGGGA